CTGGGATAAAAGATGTCCTATATAAATTCTTTTATAAGGTGCTTTTTCAGGTACTTTGTCACAGCAGTGAAGAAAAGTAACTAATACAAAGAGAGTCAAATATGATTTCTAGACCATGAAATTTACAGTAAGGTACCTCCAAAGGGCTTGAAAACTGGACTATCTGATGAAGATTAAGTTGGCACAGAGTACAACAGAGTCAGAAGTCACTTTGGAGATGCCAAAAATTACTCAGGCAGTTAGGATTAGACTTTAACAAGACTTTTCATACTGGCTTATTTAGAGAAATAAGGCTGGATATACAGATAGTTAGTCATGAACTGATGGAAAAAGGAAGTCACAGATATAAATACTGATAGTGTTCAGTTAAGTATGGTTCAACAAAGAAGAGAACTTAGGAGTGAGCTTCAACTTTTGGATTCATTGGTAAAGTCAGTCTTAAAGTGGCATTGGTAAAGGCAGTTGGTAGCTTCATGACCCTGATATATTTCTACTCTCTTGCGAAGATTACTATATTGAGAAAGGAATACATTTTGTTATCTCAACCCAATAGCTTAAAAGAGCTCTTTCTGGGGGCTGGAGAGATGGCTCAGTGGTTAAGAGCACTGACTGTTCTTCCAGAAGTTCCAGGTTCAGTCCCCAGCACCCACATGATGGCTAACAACTGTCTGTAACTCCAGTTCTAGGGGATCCGACGCCCTCTTCTGACCTCTGTGGGCATTGCATGACATGGGTGCTCTTACATGCATGCAGGCAATACACTCATACACATAAAAATAATAAATAAAGTATATATTTTAAAAAAGAGCTCTAAGTCTCTTCACTTTGATGTTTAACCAATGTTTTGAATATGACTTAGCTTCCTATTAAATTAACCTAGAAAGTGAGTCATGTAGATTTTGAGGGTTGTGTCTCTTTTTGTTCTATAACAATAAAATGACATTCTGATTTTATGAATCCTAAACTAGTTTAATACATGTTCTTCAAAGATGGGCATGCTCTTAACAAGACGGTAAATGAGTTCTTCCAAGCCCATGAACTGAGCATTTTCCTTCTGTGTAAGAAGAATCCCCATGATAAGGGGCCTCTCACTAGAAATTACCCGCTCTCTCTTATTCAGCAGCTCCTGTTTCACCCTCGACTCCCCTATCTTTGAGCACAGTTATAATTTTGTAAATAGGGTGATGAATGGAACGTGTCTTTTGGCACCAGAAGATATGAATTCAAATCTCTCTGCCTCAGTTTTCTCATTTGTAAATGTAGGTTTACTCAGTGGGGTTATTGGGAGGGCTAAGTACGTAAGACACTTGTTATAATAATAGACACTCAGTAAACACTCATTATACTTGCTGACAAGTGAGACATAGATCACTCTCCGGACCACAGTGTGGGGAGGATACTATTGAACTTACACTTTTTCTTCTCAATGGTATCGAGAAAAAGGTGCATACAATTCTATCAGCATGCCTTTCCCCTGACAAGCTCAATACAACAGAAGAGTCACTGCTATCAATTACAACTCTGATTCACTTTGCTACCTTAATTTAAATTTTGATTCATCCATTGTGTAGTTTATGGATCCCTTCCCCTGAAATGATTGTCCCTCCCCTCCTCTTCTTGTCCTTTTCCATATCAATTGTGTACATAACTCCTGTTTTTGTTTTTTTGTTTTGTTTTGTTTTTTTGTCTTTTTTGAGACAGGGTCTCCCTGTAGCCCCAGCTGTCCTGGAACTCACTATGTAGACCAGGCTGGCTTTGAACTCACAAAGATCTGCCTGCCTCTGCCTCCCAAGTGCTGGGATTAAAGGCGTGCACCACCATGCCCGGCCTCCTGTTAGTTTTTTGAAACAGCTTACACATGGGCCTTTGTTTCCTGTTCTCCACACATACCAAGCCTGTTCTTGTCTCAGGGCCTTGGCCCATGCTGAGCTCTCCCCTTGCATCCATTCTGCCTTTATATCCACTGGGCCTTTATAGAGACTGGCAACTTCTCATCCTTCAGGACCCAGTTTACATGTCACTATTTCAGAGAGATCTTTCCTAATCCCCCCCTGCACATCTCCACAATCATTCTTTGTCTCATTCCTGTGCTTTATTTTCTTCGTAGTATCACAAGACACCCCAGCTCATTGATTATTTTCTTACATGTTCTGTTTTCTCCCTGCTAACATGGACAAAATCAGAAACTCTGCTTTCTTGTTTACTACATTAAACTCTGAACTTGACCCACAAAGGTGCTTGATAAAGATTCATAAATGTGGGGCTGGAGAGAGGCTCAGCAATTAAGAGCACTGGCTCTTCTTGCAGAAGACCCAGGGTTTGATTCCCAGTACCCACAAGGCAGCTAACAACCATCCAAAACTCCATCAGGATATCTGATGCCTTCTTCTTTCCTCTGAGGGCACTGCATAATACCGGTGTACTTAACACACATGCAGGCATAATACTCATGCACATAAAATAAAATTTTAAAAAAGATTTATGAATGTGATAAATAAATGAGTACACCCTGTTCTGGAAAGCCTTCCTTAACCACTGGCTGAATTAGATACTCTTCCTCTGAACTTCTATTGTCCTCTAGATATGCTTCTTTATGTAACATTTGAACTATATGGTAATTGATAACTGCACTATTT